GAGGGGGTGGGAGTGTGCCCCGCGAGCGGTCGGGCGTGCGCGATTTTTTGTCCGGCGTCGACCGATTGAAGAGCGACGCCCATGCTGGCCTCCTCTGCCCCAGTTCCCTGCCTCGATACTTGAAACGTTTGATTTGCCTGATTCAGTCGTTCCAAGCAGAGTCACCATGGTTCGCCTTCCTCCTCCTCCTCCTCCTCCCCCTTCTCCCCCTTCTCTCTTGCACTCCGCCCTTCTTCCCCCTGGCCGCCCGCTTCCTCGCTGGCGGGTGTTACTCCCATCTGTTCAGCTCGCGCGCGAACACATGCGGCGATCGCTCTGCTGCTGTGTCCTGCGTCGTGTGTTTCTTCCTTCCGTCCAGGGGTCATGCGCTCGTTGTCCTCCTCGTCCGTGTGTATCTGTCATCGGTGTGGCCCTGCTTCCCCTCCCCCCTCCTGGGGAATCTCTCGCCGTCCGCCGAACATACGCGGCTCGTCTCCCCTTCTCTTTGCAGGCCCCCCCCCTGTGACGGCACACGGTGTAGGAAGGGAAGACCCCTCGAGGACAAAAGGGACACACATGCACACGCGTGAGGCGGACAGGGCACCCATCCTCTCCCGCATGTTCCTGCGGAGTGTGGCCATCCTCCTTTCGACCATGTCGGATGCACGCCGCATCCGACGTGCCCTCTCTATTGGTGTTCGCCATGGTGACTAACATCCGCATGTCCGTGTGTCCCCCCTTCTGACTTCTGTGTGCCCTGGACGCGCTCTGCTCTTCTCCTCTCCGGTTCCGATTTCCCTCTTTCTCTCCTCTCGCTCGCGCTTTTGCCCGTGTGTGTGTGTGTGATCTGGCTGTGCGCGCGTGTGACAGTCTGACGATAACCAGCCCAAGCGCCGTACCTTCCGCAAGTTCTACTTCCGCGGCCACGAGACCGATACTCTCCTGAACCTGCCCCAGGAGGAGATCACCAAGCTCCTGTCCGCCCGCGTCCGCCGCAAGTTCAGCCGCGGTATCGGCACCAAGCCCAACCTCCTCATGAAGCGCCTCACCGCCGCCAAGAAGAACGCCACCGCCGAGGAGCGCCCCGCCTACATCAAGACCCACCTGCGCAACATGATCGTCGTCCCCGAGATGATTGGCTCCAACGTCGCCATCTACAACGGCAAGACCTTCAACCAGGTTGAGATCAAGGTACGCGCCTGTCTCTCTCCTTCTCGTGTTCCATTCTCTCGATCCCCTGTTCCCCCTGCTTTCGCTGTATGATGTGTGTGAGCGTGCGTGCGCGTGTATGTGTGTGTGTCTGTGCCCAGGTCACACCCTCGAGGAGCGCACTCCTCGCCCGTGTGCACCGCGCGTTGCCCTCCTCTTCGGTCGGATGGGGATCGCACATGCGCGCACACGCACACACGCACACACCACGGCGTTGGCAGGCACGGAGGGGGGGTCATGCGAGGCCAGCCGGCCAGCGCAGCACACAGGCCACTGGCATCTTCCCCTTCATTCGCCCAGACTATCCCGCGCGCGCGCGCATGGTCACACCCTGGCTGACCCGTTCTTCTCTCTCTCTCTCTCTTCTCCCCCTAGCCCGAGATGGTTGGCCACTACCTTGGTGAGTTCTCCCTCACCTACAAGCCCGTCTTCCACGGTCGCCCCGGTGTCGGTGCCTCTGGGGCCTCCAAGTTCATCCCCCTCAAGTAAATTGCTTTGCTTGTGATGGGAGTTTCAGTGGGGAGGGGGACTCTCTCCTTCTCCTCGCCCCGGGCCTTCTGCGTGTGTGTGTGTGCGCGCGGGCAATCACGCCGGCTGCGCCCCCTTCCCAATGCTCTCCTCTCCTTGTGCGCCCCTCTTCCCCCGGAGGGGCATCCGGAGGGACGGTGACACTCGGGTGAAGGGGGTGCGCTCCTCGCCGCAGTTGCTCTCCTTTCAGACATGCGAGTGAGAGGGGCCTGTGTGCTGTGCGCACCTCTGCGGCCCACTGCCCCATCCCTCTCTCTCACGCGCACGCGCGCGCGCGCCCCACTCTCCCATGTAAATTGCAGATGTAAAAGAGACCCACTTTCTCCTCTCTCCCCTGTGTGTTGGGTGCCTCTCACCTTCTTTGCCCATTTTTGCTGTCAGGTTAACGGGGGCGCGAGGGGGTGGACCGAGAGAGAGAGAGAGAGACAGGGGACTGTGTGCCGCCTGTGTTCCTGCTTTCTTTTACCGCCACCCGCGCGCGCGCGTACACACACGTCCGTCGTCTTCCTCGCCAGGAGACAAAAGGGCCCTTTGTCTCTCTTGGCAAAGGTGGGCGCCTGCCAAATCGACAAATCTCCCTCTCTGTGTCTGCTGCGATATGTGGTGTGTTTGTGTTTGTGTGTGTGCGTGTCGAGGGGGCAGGAGAGAGGAGGCGCAGCGGCTGCGTGCCATGCACTCCGCACAAGACCCTTCCTTGCCTGCCTGTGTGTCTTGCCTCGCCTTTTTCCGGACCTCCGCGTGCGTGTGCGCGTGTGTTGCTCCTCCCGAGAAAGGCTGACGCGGACAGGCAAGGGGGCGTGTGCTGCCGACAGAGATGCGCGCCGCGCCGATCTTACCTCGCCTGCGTGCTCTAACCAAGAAGGCATGTATTCTACTATTCCAGTCAATATGATCACATGTCCACATGATTCACTTGGATACGCTGACGCTTCCGAGTTGGACTATGCCCACAATTGGCCACCGGCGGCGGCAGGGCGCTGGCCGACGAGCGCGCCGCGGCCGGCAATTTGGTCAGGCGGACCATGAAGAGGCAAGCAGTGCGCGTACCGGCGGGCGACATGCGCAGAGCGCCGCGCAAGCGGCGACTGTGGATCACCCCCAAAGGCAGCTGAGGCGCCTCCAGGCCAGGCGGTCCGCACACGGGAGGGCCGAGCCCCGGAGATCCGGCTGGATGGGACTGGTGTCCCGGGCACTCGGCAGAAAGGCCACACATCTGCATAGGTGCGGGGGCAGATGCGGAGTCCGGCACAGGCAGGCTTTGGGCCCCAAAGTCCAGGGTCCGCAGAGCTTCCAGCACGCCGTGGCCAGGGCCAGATGGCTGGTGATCCTCAAATTGCTTCAGCACACCGGCCCAGGGGTTGGCTGCCGCTTGGGATGTCGGCTCAGGATGGGTGCTCAGGTCAATGGTGCGCGCCGAGTCGGGATACGCCTCCAGTAGGCGCAGGACGACATCTTCATTTTGACGGGCCAACCAGGAGCAAGTAGCATAGACCAGGCACCCGCCGGGGGCCAGCAGCCGGAAGCCATTCTCCAGGAGCCGATACTGCAGGTCATTGAGTTGGCAAAGGGCATCTTCCGACAGGCGTGCCTCCAGGGAGGCGCCTCCAACAGCGTGTTGGGCGCCAGCTCCCGAGCGGAAGAGGTGTTTGACACTGCCGTCGGTGGTGCACTCGGCGTCGACGATCACCCGGTCATAGGGGATCTGGCTGTCGTGTGCGCATGCTCGGAGATCCGGATGCGCGGTCAGATACAGGCGGCTTGGACGCCGCGGGTGGGCCGAATCGAAGGGCACCTCCTGGGCGGTTGGCCGCATCCATGTAGGCCGGGCGAGTGATGCCCGCGTGTGCATGCATATTTTTTTTAAGTATAAGAGCGTGCATGTGCGTGCATGTGCGTGCATGTGTAGGTGTGTGGGCCCGTGGCGATGGGCCGGAGGATGCGACAAACAACGCACAGGCGAGGGGGCAAATGCATCGAAGGAGACGCCACACCGAGAGTAGGCGCGGAAGGGCGGCACATCCGGCGCTGCCGGGGGATGTAGCCCCTGGCGCTTAAGCTGCCCACATGCCGTGCGCAGCCGGGTCGGGCAGAGGTCGACAGCGGTCACCGAAGCCGCCCCCTGGCCGAGCCGACCCTCCGCGTCGCCGCCCTCCAGGCGCCCGAGCAGATCGAGAGCCGCCCGGCCAAGGGCCCGACGCCGGGTCATAGCATCCATGATGAGGCCGGTTTTGGCACCGGGGGCAGCGCAAATGTCCAGCACATGTCCATTTGCAGGGGGAGCCAGCAGGGTGTATGCCGCCAGGCCGGACGCCGCATCTATCCCGGAAACCAAGCCTGCGCGGTGGAGGGCGGTCTGTGCCAGCTGGAAGTCCGGGTCTCCGATGCGCCAAAAGTGCGGGAGATAGGACACTGGTGTGATCCCCCGGCCAGCCAGTGTGCTTAGTGCCCGGTCGAGATCCAGAGTGCAGGCATCGGGCGTATCGTCGGTTGTGGCACGCCCATAGGGCACCGGCTGGGAGGGGCAATCGAGCGCGCCGAGGACCATGGGACGGAGTCGACCACACCGGGCAGCATCAGCCTCCCCAAGGATCTCGGCCACGTCGGCCAGCACTCGCGTTTCGAGATCCGAAGCCAGGGGGTAGCATACATCCCGCCGTGGCGGGTCAGCCACACAGGAGGCACAGCTACACAGTGAAATGGGCCCCAGCAGGCTGAGGGCACTTCGAGCCTCGCATCTACCACGCAGCCCGGCCAGCTGCGCCCTGAGTGGTGCTAGTCGTGAGGCCGATTCAGAGGGCACGCATTTTTGTCCGGCGGTCACGATCAACTCCAGGGCTTCGAGATGCGCGCACTGCAAGCACGGGCGCAGGCGAATGTAGCGCGGCAGCGTGCGCACCGGGGCGCCATCGGCCTGGTGGGTGACGGCTCCGGCGAAGGCCAGGCTCGGTGGGACACCATGGCGAGTCAGGAGGTCGGCAAATGGTGACGGCAGGGGCGGGGGCGGGGGGTGTGGAGGTGGTGTGGCCATGGTGCGGGGCACGGGCAGAGCGGAGTTGGGTTATGCGCGGGAGGAGGGATGATGGGTGGGGGGCGGGCAGGAGAGGAGCAGGGCATTGGTCGGTATTGCCAGCGCTCGGGGAACTAAATCGCCCGGGGCGGTGCCACCCGCGAGGAGTAGCCCAGGCAGCGGGATCGGCGGCGCGTGTGCGCGTGCACATGCCTGTGGGTGGGGAGCCACGAGTCAAGCGAGGGAATGCCAACGAACATATGCACTGGAAATGATCACACGGGGATATGTATTTTCACCGGGCCCATTCGCATGGCCGATAGGGATATTCCTGGGGGGAGTTTCGGCGTGAGGGGGCCTGGCCGGCGGGTTGCCGGATGTTGGCCGCGAGAGTCCCCCCCCTCGCCCCCGCGGGGCTCGGGGGTCCCCAACCGAGAAGAAGACCTGCTCCCCCGCAAGCGGGCCGTGGCGCGCCGGGAAGTGTGCGGCTGCTCGACTCGCAAGAGTCGGGGGGGGGGGGGGGGGGGGAGCGGGGCCACTGTACGGGCTCTCCTGCATCTGGCGAATGCTTGCTCGGGGAGTTGCTGGTAGCAGGAGCTCCTACCGTGCGGCGGGATTGCGGGCAGGGGCGGGGGAGTAGAGCGCTCCGAACGCGATAGGCATAGCCCCCTTTTTCTGTCCGCTCAGCCCGGCGGTCCACATGGGCGGAAGGACCCGGTGACCTGGCCCCGGGGACAAGGCCCCTCGGGCCTGGGAACGGAGAGGGACCTGTGCGCGGGATTCTCTCAGGTTGAGTGCAGGCTCTCTCGTTCGGTGGCGCATGGGGGGTGACGTCCGGCGGGCTGGCGGAGGCGCTGGTGGTCATCCCAAGTTTCACATTATGTCAGGGAAATCCCCGTCGGGCCGGTGGAGGGAGGGTACGAGCGAGCGGGTAGCTGCGAGGCGGGCGGTGGCGGCCAGAGGGGGAGGGGCGGGGAGAGGGGAGAGAGGGTATGTCCTGCCCTGGCCCCGCCCCCCAGCGCACTGACCGAATGTGGCAAGGATACGCGGCACGGGCTGGTCTTGTATGGGCACGCGGGATTCTTTGCCCAAAATGGGTGGATAGGTGTTCAGCGTTCTCGGCCGGCGGGGGAGAGATGCAGCATTTGGCCGGATGTTTCCCTTACAGGGAATTCTCGACACACAGCCCCTGGGCCGTCCCCCCCCCCCCGTGACGGGAGGTGTGTACTCCTCGCCTTGCCGCACGGTACTGTTGGCCCGACGTGTGGTGCGTGCGGCTGGTTGGCGTGCTGCCGACTGACTGTGGAACGTCGCCCGCCGGTAATGAGAGGGGGAGGGGGGGTTCGGGCCGCCCAGCACCGGCCCCCCTTCGCTGTGGAGCATCGCCGCGGCGGCCCGCATCATTGCCGGATGTGCCTGGGGCGTGGCTGTTCTGTTCTAGGTTCAGGGATGTCCCCCCCCCCCCGGGGTGGGTGGGGGGCGAGGAGCCGGAGGCCCAGTCGGGCCTGCCCTGGCCGACTACCGGCGACACCCTGGCCTCTGGGCGTCCTGCCTGGCGGTCTGCCCCCCCCCCCCCCTCCCCCCGAGAAGCAGCGGGGTGAGGATGGGGAGGGCTCAAGGGAAACGCCCAGGCGCGCAGGTGGGGTCGCCGCGAAAAAATGGGGTCCTCTGGCTGGTCGCTGGAGGCATCTCCAGATGCCAACTGGGCTCCCAGGGGCCGGAAACCACATTGGCGCGTGCCGCCCGGGGGGCCTAGGCGCCCCCTCTTGGGTACGCGCGCCCGAGTGCCTGCCGGGATGCGTTCGCGGGCCGCGTCCACCCGCCCGAGCCTGTGGTGGCTCTCGAGGAATAATGCTCTTCGGGGCAAAGGGAGCCGCGAGTGCCCGGCTATTTTCTCCCTCCCTCTCTCTCTCTCTCTCTCTCCATCTCCGGCCCGACTCAGTAGCATTAGCGGTAGCAAGAACGACGGCAGAGGCCCAGGCGAACAGCACCCGCATACGCGGCAGATCATTCCTCCAGGCCCGGGTCTGCCAATAGGGACACTTTATTGACGAGAGCCCCGCGCCCAGATGGACAGCCCACCATTTTGGGAGGAGATGCCCCCGGCCCCCGCCCCCCCCTGGCAGAGAGAGAGAGCTGGGTGGTGTTTGAGGCGCCCCGTGTTCCCTCTGCCCGAGCGTGGAGTAAAGTGCGGCTTTGAAAAGACCCCTACGTCCACCAGCTCGCACAGCATACAGCTTCCATCCCCCTTTCCCCCATCCCCCCCCCCTCCCTGTGTTGTTGCTTCGTACGACACGCTCGCCGCTGATGGCCTCGCATGGAGAATACCTTCTGCCTCTCGTTCCTTTCCTCCATTGCCGGCCACGACCTCGCCAATCGGTGTTTTCTCCTCCTGCCTCCGCCCCCCCCCCCCCCCCCCCCCCCCCCCCCCCCCCCCCCCCCCCCCCCCCCCCCCCCCCCCCCCCCCCCCCCCCCCCCCCCC